TTTTTTTATTGAATTTAAATTAAATTAAGAAATTAACAGCATATATTAATTTTTAATTGAATTTTAAATTAAAAAATAAAAAATTGAAAAAAAATTATTTATATATATTAAAAAGTATATAAAAAAAATTATATATTTTTATTAATATTTATATATTTTAATGTTTATAAAATAAAAATAATTATTTTATACTTAACTCTATCTAAATATTTTAAAAAGTATATTAAAATAATATATAAAAATATAGATATAAATATAAAAATCGATGAATTAAACCAAACTAATAAAATTTAATTCAATTTAAATAAAATTAAATTATAAAAAAATTTAGTTCAAATTCAAATTAAATTTTAAAAACTCATAATTTTATGTATTATTTTAAAAAATTAAATTTAATTCTATTCAAATATTATCTTCCTCTTAAATTTCAATAACACAGTAACCTGTCATACAAATTATGATTTGAGCTTAAGTACAAATCTTGGGTTTGAAACTTTTGAATTATTTTTTATTTAAGAATTTTTATAAATAAAACCCAACATCAAATCTACCACAAAATATTATGTGGGCTGTCCTAGTCATGCTGACTGGAAACACAAAATAACTCTTAAAAAAAGTTCTACTTTATTGATCCTTTTTTCTTACAGGTCAATGTACAATGTCCAACAGTTGGAAATGTCACTGTCTATCTAGCCCACGCAGGTGGAAATGTTCATCAAATTATTTAAATCACATGGTTTAGCCTTTGGCAGTAGCAAATGGAGAATCCAAAGTTTTGAGTTTGAAAAAATCTTGAGCTCTTAAGCCATTTGTTTCTTTGCAAAATCTTTATTGTTTTCTTTTTTTCCAAGGGTAAAGCATAAACATTTCCTGGCAAGTAAAGGAGGTTTCTGGTTGATCATGGCTTCGCAACAGTTGCCATATCATGAGAACATTGTGGAAACAAGATTTTGACACACTTTGCTTGAAGTTTCTGCTTCCAGCTCCATAGTCAAGCTAATTGAGGTAAGAAGAGCTTCTAAAAGTTCTTCATCCCCGCCTCCCCCCCACCCCCCAAGAATATACTAATTGCTGATTAACAAAGAATGTTCATTTGTCAACAAAGGGATTCATTTTATTTTATTTTTTTGATGTAAATATTTTGAGTTCGAATTTAATCGATAATTTTTTATTAAAATAATTTTAAGTGCATAATTTAAAATATTTATTTTTAAAATTATTAAATATGATATATTTTATTTTAATTTAAAAAATTTTAAAATTTTTTTATTTTAAAATTTTCATAACAATAAAAAAATGTTTCTTTAAAAATTTAGGCAAAAATAAAAAAATTTTAAATAAAAATTTAATAATTAAGCAAGTTTTTATCATTTTATTATAATTAATTAAAAATTTTAAATATCTTTTTTCATTAACTGAATTTTTAATAGATTAAAATTGATTAACCGGTAATATTCATTTTATTAAATCAAAGTTCAATTAAAATGAAAAAAAATACTTAAAATTTTAATTAAAAATTTAAAATTTTAATTAATTTAGAATAAAAATAAAAAATTTAATTAATTATAATAAAACATTAAAATTTTAAATAATTATCAAATTTTACTTTAAGACCTTTTTACCCTTTTATAAAAAAATTTACCTTTCGACACATTTGAAAGAAAATCCACAGGGTTTGGCTATGTTTGAGCATTGTGACATCATTCCAACACGCCATTGCACCAATCATGGCTGCCCGACCTGACAGAGCTCTTAAGTCAAGCATTAGACTTCGAGTCTACTTATTAATTATGGAAGGAAGAGTCGAAGCAACTTCTTAATTTTTTCAATACTACACTTTAGCTTAAATGAGCAAATTAATTTTCTAATACCAATAAATTGGTGATCAGAATATTATCAAATGAAAACTAAACTGATTTCCAACAATCAGACACATCTAGGCTTATTTTAATGTTCGATTCTACATCAAGATATTCTAAAAATTCACTATCATATATATACATAAAAATTTATATTTATATTTATAAAATTATTTTTTAAAAATAAAATCATAAAAGACAAAATTTTATGTAACACTTGTCCAAGCTGGCGGCTATATTATTGAGTTGATTACCCCACCAAAAGACTTTTCCTAGCTCACAAACACCAAGAAAAATAAATGAAGACAGAGAGCTTGGCTTATCCATTGTTTGTCTCGTCAATGGTGTTGAGAGCTAGTCAGAAATTTCAGCGATGGTGGGATTGTCTGTAACTTAAATCATCACAAGCAGTTATCTCTTTTCCATATATTTTTAACAGTTGACACACTTCTACATAAACAAAATTTCAATCATTTTCAGAAAAAAAGAGAAAGTAAAGCAAAAATGATGATGAAGGGAGAAATGTGGTCCAATCTAGGCTCAACCATGGCAGCCATAATGTTCATTTATGCCATGTTCCGACAGTACTTCCCGCCTCAACTTCAGGACTATATCTCTCGATATAGTAAAAAGCTGTCGAATTTGATGTATCCTTATGTTCATATAACCTTTGATGAATTCACTGCTGAATGGATGAAAAGAAGTGAGGCCTTCTTGGCAATTCAGAACTATCTCAGTGGCAGGTCATCTGCCTATGCTAAGCGACTTAAGGCTGATGATGTTCAAGATAGTCAGTCTTTTGTCCTTAGCATGGATTATGGTGAGGAAATCACTGATGAGTTTAATGGAGTCAAGGTTTGGTGGGCTGCAACTGTAAGATCCTCAAAACCACAACAGTTTTCATCTTATCCGGCTTCCGATGAGAGGAGGTTCTACGTTCTAAAGTTCCATAAACGTGACAGGGATTTCATCACTGGGACTTATCTCATTCATGTCTTGAATCAAGGGAAGGCTATTGCAGCTGATAAACGGCAGCGGAAGCTGTACTCCAACAGTGCAGGCCACGGTTGGTCTGGTTTCAGAAGTACTAGATGGACACATGTAGATTTTGAGCATCCTGCTACATTTGATACTTTGGCAATGGATGCAAAAAGGAAACAGGAAATCAAGAAGGATCTTATCAAGTTTAGCAAGCGGAAGGAGTACTATGCTAAGATTGGAAAAGCTTGGAAGCGCGGTTATCTGCTTTATGGTCCTCCAGGAACTGGCAAATCTACCATGATTGCTGCCATGGCTAATTTTTTGAATTATGATGTGTATGATCTTGAGCTTACTACAGTTAAGAATAATGTAGAACTGAGAAGGCTTTTGATTGAGATATCAAATAAATCTATCATAGTGATAGAGGATATTGATTGTTCTCTTGATCTTACTGGCCAAAGAGAAAAGAATAAGAAGAAAGATGAGAATGAAGAGATGGATCCAGTTAGTAAGAGGGCAAAAGAAGAGGAGAAAAAAGACAGTGAGGTCACTTTATCAGGGCTTTTGAATTTTATTGATGGACTTTGGTCTGCTTGTGGGGGTGAAAGAATCATTGTATTTACTACCAACCATGTTGAGAAGCTTGATCCAGCTTTGATAAGGAGAGGAAGAATGGACAAGCGCATTGAAATGTCCTATTGTCGTTTAGAAGCATTCAAGGTGCTGGCAAAGAATTATTTGGGCATTGATACTCATCCACTTTTCGGAGAAATTGGCAGATTGTTGGAGGAAACAGATGTGACTCCTGCTGATGTTGCAGAGAATTTGATGTTGAAGTCAGATGATGAAGAAGAAGATGAGACTTGTCTGAAGAATTTGATAGAAGCCCTTAAGGCTGCAAAGGAGGAAGCAAGAAAGAAAGCTGAGGAAGAAGCTCTTCTGAAGGCGGAGAAAGAACAGAAGGAAAAGGAACAAGCAGAGAAAGAAGAAAAGGAAAAGGATCAATCTGTTAAAGAGGATGTCAAACAAGGTGCAACATCAGCCAAAGAAGTGAAAGAGAATGGATTCATCCATTAACTGATACGGCCATCTTCATCTTCAGTTGGTTCCTACCAATTTTCTTCCTATATGTATGTTATGTCTCTGCCTATCCATATCTATATTTAGTCCAAAAGTAGTCTTGCATATATTTGCTTCTAATGGCTGCAATAAAATTTAGATGGGGGTGATATTCAGGTGCTCCAAATTTAATTTTCTGCACTGAAGTTTCAGAATTAGTTTCGATTTCAACTTTGTTTAACCCCAAATTCCGAGCTCTTTTTTTGAATCAGCATAAGTTCCTTTCAGATCCAATTTCTAGTTCTTTCAAGTCTAGAGCTTATGCAAATTTGAGGCATCAGGTATAGACATATTGTCAATTTGTTATACAGGGGAAGTGGTGCCATTGCTAAAAAAACCAATTAGGTTTCATCAATGTTGCTCTGTAAGAGTGCCTCAAAAGCTTACCATTCACTTCAGATAATTGTAATGACTCTTCTTTCTTTCTAAGGGCCTAATCAAAATGCAAAGCCAATTCTTAATCATGCTTGTGCAAGAAAACAAAATTTCTGGAATCTTGCTTTGATTAAAGTATTAAGAAAGCAATAAAACAGAAATTTTCTTTCAGTAGCCAACAGATGAAGACAATACATATTTTAGTTTATAAAATCATCAAGTTTCACATATATTTGCCAGCTTTCAGTGCTGTATTGGTCGATATTAGTTGTAATCAACATATTTAACCTCCCTAATCACCTTCATGCTACATTTAAAAGCATGACTACATTTTTTTAGTTTCTGTAATTTTCTATTATTTCCCTTTTTGTTTCCTTTATGCTAAAAAATTTGAGTTCTTTGGGATAACTGATGTCTTTGAAAGCTAAGTGCTGCATCTGTTTATTTTCTTATCTAGTGAGAAGGCACCAAAAGATATTAATTTTCTAAGGAAGTGGAAAAAGAAGTTAAGGCAACCTTCAATATAATAATATGTTTAAGGCCACTTGATCTAGTTCAAATGATCCTTCATGTTCCTTCAAGGAATTTTACTGATGACTCCATAATCCAAAAATGTCAGGTCCATTTCTTACTTTTATGCAATAATTTTGTATTATGATGATGATTATGAAGTACAAGTATTACCCTTTTATTGTTTTCTGCTACAAGAACTAAACTTTGTTTATTGCTGCCCTCAGCAGTTTACATAGTGATGAAACACAGGGCCAAAGGATGATATCAACATATCAGCTGAGATTTATTAGCATACATTAGAAGTTTACCTAGTGGTGAAACACAGTTAGGGGTGTGAGTCAACAACAATAACAGTAAAATAGTTTTCACAGAGTGGTGAAATATTTAGAGCAAGAGTGTAACCCAATGGAAATGATATTCTAGTTTTTGACATGAAGTGCATTTATCATTATAATTACATGTCTTTCTAGACAGGGAACTTGGTGAAAGGCACACAAAAAATATCTTCAAAAGCCAGAAGTAGAAAAATGGAAATCTCATTACAGGTTGGTCTTTTTTCTATGTACATTTTATCCTAACAGGTCAGACAACAATTTCCCATAGATAAAAGGTCATTATTTAGTTCGTTGGACAAGTTCCACGATAACTCTTTCTGGTGTTACCCAGTGACTGATATAAATTTGACCAAAAAAGAAACTTGAACTTAACATTTGCAATATTGTCATACAAATTGTATGTTTGGTCACAATTTGGCTGCCTGAGCATTGAGAACACACTTGGAAAGTGTTTTTCTTTTAAAAAAGAACATAAAGTTTAACGTATAGTAGTTTTTCTTTTTATTACTTCTATAGTATACAGAATCTGATTAATATGGACACAGCTATCCCATGAAATTGTTTTCTGTTCTTCCCAAAGCTCATAGCAGGCATCTTTTTCCTTATTGAATACAGAGAAGTAGCTTCATGTGTGAATGGTGAAGGTTACATACATTTAACAAATATAAAAGGTACTGCAGCTGTGGGGTAGAGGTCACTGCTTTCAAAGCAATGAGAACTTAAAGAAATAATTGCAAAAGCTAAACCAGCCGAATTTCTGCATAAAAGACAAAGAATTTGGTGGCTTTTAAAAAAGGCCAGAATAGCAGTAAGCTAGTGAAGTTTCTGTGGATTTTCCTTGTTTATAAATATATATATATTTATTTATTTATTTATTTTCAAGCATATAATACACCTTAGCCAAAGAGTATACTGTTTCATACCCCAAATTTTCCCTGAAAGGAGAAAAGAAAGATGGTAATTGGAGAGTCATGGGCTCAAATAGGATCAACCATTGCTGGTTTGATGTTTGCTTTAGCTACATTACAACAGTTTTTCCCTCTCCAACTTCGAGTCACTCTTGAACAGTTTGTTTTAATATGGACACAGCTATCCCATGAAATTGTTTTCTGTCCTTCCCAAAGATCATAGCAGGCATCTTTTTCCTTATTGAATACAGAGAAGTAGCGTCATGTGTGAATGGTGAAGGTTACATACATTTGACAAATATAAAAGGTCCTGCAGCTGTGGGGTAGAGGTCACTGCTGTCAAAGCAATGAGAACTTAAAGAAATAATTCCAAAAGCTAAACCAGCCGAATTTCTGCATAAAAGACAGAATTTGGTAGCTTTTAAAAAAGGCCAGAATAGCAGTAAGCTGATCAAGTTTCTGTGGACTTTCCTTGTTTATAAATATATATATATTTATTTATTTATTTTCAAGCATATAATACACCTTAGCCAAAGAGTATAGTGTTTCATACCCCAAATTTTCCCTGACAGGAGAAAGAAAGATGGTAATTGGAGAGTCATGGGCTCAAATAGGATCAACCATTGCTGGTTTGATGTTTGCTTTAGCTACATTACAACAGTTTTTCCCTCTCCAACTTCGAGTCACTCTTGAACAGTTTGTTTTAGCCACCCTTCAGCAGTTTTCTTTTGTCCAAAAGTTTTGTGATAAGTTGGTTAATTTTTTCTCACCATATATCACGATCACATTTCCTGAATACTCTGGTTACTGGAGCAACCAAGCTTACACTGCCATTGAAACATATGTTGGGGCCAGATCAACCACCGAAGCTTCACAGCTCAAAGGTAGCCTGATCAGAAATAGTAAGGCTCTTGTCCTGACAAGAGATGACAGGAAGGTCTCTGATGAATTTGATGGGGTCAAGGTCTGGTGGGTTTCAGGCTCTTCCACTTCTACTAGTTCCGAGGACAAGTATTACCAGCTCATCTTCCATAGACGTCACCGTGATTTGATCACAGGGCCATACCTGGATTATGTTCTGGAAGAAGGCAAGGCGATCGAGGCCAGGAATAAGCAGAGAAGGCTTTACACCAATAATCCTAGTGAGAACTGGAGTTCTTACAAGAAGAACTTGTGGAGTGACATACCTTTTGAGAACCCTGCAACATTTCAGACATTAGCAATGGATCCTAAGAAGAAGGAAGAAATCATCAATGACCTGGTAACATTTAGTAAAGGAAAAGATTATTATACCAAGCTTGGGAAGCCTTGGAAACGAGGGTATCTCCTCTATGGTCCACCTGGAACCGGTAAGTCCACCATGATTGCTGCCATGGCTAATCTTTTGAATTATGATATCTATGATCTTGAGTTGACAACAGTTAAAAACAACACTGAGCTCAGGAAGCTATTGACTGAAACATCAAGTAAGTCTATAATTGTGATTGAGGATATAGATTGCTCCCTGGATGTAACTGGTCAGAGAAACAAGGAAAGAGCAAAAAGCAGTGAAAATTTGGGGCATGATCTGAATTGTAAAAGAGAGAAGGAATCTGAAAATGAAAAGACCAGTAAAGTTACACTCTCTGGACTATTGAATTTTATTGATGGTACTTGGTCAGCTTGTGGAACTGGCAGGATCTTAGTGTTCACTACTAATCATGTAAACAAGCTTGATCCAGCTCTAATTCGCCGAGGGCGAATGGATTTGCATATTGAGCTGTCATATTGCAGTTTTGAAGCATTCAAGACACTAGCCAGGAATTACTTGGATCTTGATTCACATGACTTGTTTGAAAACATTGGCATTTTGTTGAAGGAAACAGACATGACTCCAGCTGATGTTGCAGAGAACTTGATGCCAAAGCGTGAGAAGAAAGATCCAGATTCTTGTTTAGAGAGCCTGATTCAAGCTCTTGAGGTTGCCAAAGAAAATGCAAAGTTGAAAGCTGATAAAGGAAAGGCACTCAAGGTCAAGAAAGAAGGAAGAACCAATAAATTTTATACTGGTTTGATTAAGAAAAGATGGCTGTTCTAGGCTTAATTGATGACTCCAATCAGATTAAAAATTTAGTTAATTTCAGCTTCTCATGTTTAGTGTTTTTGCATATTTCATTCTGGCTAGGCTTAAAATTGACTATGAACATATGCGAGCTATATATCAAGTAAAAAAAACGATAACCTTTTCCATTATGTTGATATTTTGTCATTTCACAAACAGATTTGTGCCAGTGAAAAGGCAGGGTGAATATGATTCCAAAAGCTTTAGTGATAGAATTACACTTGTCTCCAAAAACAGATGGTCTGATTTGCCTTTTCCCCATTAAACTTTTTAGGATATAGTTACTTTGCCTTTTCCATTGTTACTCTTTGCCTTAAGGACATGCTTATCATTATTTTTTTTTTACAAAAAGGTTCTAGCATGAAAAAAAAATGTTGAAAGTGCTGAATTTGAATATCATATCTACGGGACATCATCTTAAAAATAATTATATAAACCAATTGAATTAAATAAAAAAAATCTAAAGGTCTTGTTTTCTCATTCTCCTAAACAAAAAAAAAAAAAAAGGGAATTAATTTTATTTGTGTGGTAAACTTCTTCCATGCTAAATGGAACTTTAAACATTGTTGAACACATGTGAAATACTGAATAAAAAATTTTTTCTCACTTGCTTCCTTTGCCACCAAAACAATCCTCTCCCAAACACACTTTCCTTGCGTTGATACGATAATTAATAGGAATAATAAAATAATTCATATTTTACAGGTTTTGATTTGTTTTGATTCAATAATGTTATATATTTTTTAAATCAAAGATAAGGTCGAAGGTGGATCGGTTTCCTTTAAAATCGAGTTTGAGTCAAAGTGAGTTATGTTGTACTATCCCCACCCATATATATGTATATAAATATTTTTTATTATTTATTTAATTTTTATATATAACATGATAATTCAACTATATATTAATTTTTGTGGATATTAGAAGATCAAATTATATCAAAAGTTATTAAATTTTACTTATATTAGACTAAAATTAAAATTATATTGTTAATTATTATTGTTATATTATTATTATATTCAATAAAAATATTTGTTAAATTAAATTTTTAAAAATAAAAATTATACATATGTCAAAAATGAGTAAATTTATATCAGTTAAAGCAACTCTTTGACATTGCTAAATTTGGAGTTTCCAATAATCTAAGTTTTTAAGCATTCGGATTTTGGGTTCTTGTATTAGTATTTTTGTTTAATTCATCTACACACCCTTAAGTATGATTCTAATTAGCAAATATATTTAAAATCAAACTCATTTAATTTATAGTTATTGAGAATAAAAAAAAGAGAAAAAAACAAAAGATCGGTTTGCTTGAAACTCATGTTGCTTGAAAATTATCAAATTACCTGTCATCTATTCTATATATTTAATGTGTGAATCTTATCAAATTGAGTATCTAAAACTCAAATTATCTATGATCTTGCTATAGTTTGACCAACTGGACAATCGATCATTGGCATTTATATGAGCCAATTTCAAGTCAATTTTTCTTGAGATCATGAATCTTTGCCTATTTTCTTTCCGATTGAAAAGTGTTGGCTCAAGTGGTCGAAAGAAAAAATATGGCTCAAAACAAATGAAAAAGAACAAAAATAAAGAAACCTTTTTTTTGGTAAAAAATAATAATAATAAAGAAACCTAATTACATTACAAGAAATCTAACATATACTGATGCTTAAAAAACTATCGATAAAATCAAAAAATCTGACAGTATAGCACAATAAACCCTATACTGATAGTCAAAATGTATATTTTGATAAAATTTTAACTGTCAATACATCCCTTATCAGTATAGACCTATATTGACGATTTTTAAGGTATCGAAATAGCTCATAAAAATATATTTATGGTTCAAGATCGTTAGTAAATGTATATATATTGGTATAGTACCTATTATGTGTTTCACTATTATACCTTTTACCAATGGTTAATACCTATTAGTATAGACTTATATGTTTTAATTTTTATATTTTTATGTTCAAGATCGTTAGTAAATGTATATTTATTGGTATAGCATCTATTGTGTGTTTCACTATTATACCTTTTACTGATGGTTAATACCTATCAGTATAGACTTATATATTTTAATTTTTCTTTCTTATACTGACAATTAATGCTCGTCAGTAACCGTTAGTATAAACTTGTAATTTTTTTACGTATACTGACACTTAAAGCCCATCAGTATAGATTTATACGTTTTAATTTTTTTACCTATAGCAACGGCTAGTGTCCGTTAGTGTAGACTTATATTTTTTTAAATTTTTATTATATTTTATTGACAATTGGTGACTGTTAGTATCGCATAAAATATTTCAACAATCAAGTGCATCAATATAAATGTTAAGACTTTGGTAAATTTTTTTTTAAAATTATATTTTCAATTATTAATATTAATTTATTTATAATCACAATATGATATGTTTTCATATAAACAAAAATAAAATAAAATAAAAGATATTTAATAACATTAAAACTACAAGTAAATTATTTATAATCCATAAACTTAGTATAAGTGAAAAACTAAAGTCATTGTACTAAGTTTGATAAAACAAACATCAATAAAACAAATATAGATAAAGAGTTATGCCACTTCACCCTAAAAAACACAATCATAAGTTTGGACCACCAGACACCCAAAGACTTTTTGATCACCTTAAACTTCAATAAAACTTTGAACAAGATAATCTTAAAAAATTTATAAACGAACAAACAATTGCAAAACCACCTCAATAAGAAAAAACATACATGCACCTATTACAAACCCTTTCCAAAACTAAAACATTTTAATTTATACAAAATATCACAAGTCTTGAAAAAGTTAACAAGTGTAGCCACATCATATAACTAACAAGCTCAATGAACCTAGCTCACTAATAGTATTCAATATACCAATCAAGCATCACAAAACACAATAGCCTTCTTTCAACAAAGTGTATTACATCTAAAACAAAACCAAATCCCCCTACAAACATAATGCTTAGAGTAAATAAATAACTTCCTAAAATAAAAGATCCCATCATAGATTTCTACAAAGAAGCATCTGCATAGCATAAAAAATCTAATTAGAATTCTTGTAAATTATCTTATATATACATAAGGTAAGAAGGTAATCATCCATTCATATACTAGGAAAAATAATTTTATAAACATCTTATTCATTCATATATACAAAAGGTAATCATCCATTTATATACCAGTAAAAATAATTTTATAAACATCCTATCTACTAGTGTAATGCATGAATGAACAAGAAATAACCTAATTTACATGTGTAATCTCCCCATTCTTTTAGTTTAATTTCAAATAATAACTTAATGAAACTAACGTAAGATTATTTTAGTCAACAGAACTATAATTAAATAAATATTCTCACTATAACATTCAAGTTTACAACTATAGAGCATGCTTACATCATAAGAAAACCTTTTCAAAGGAAAAAAAAAAAAAAAAAAAGGCAAGAAACCTTTTCAAGGGAAAAAGAGCATGTTTTAAATCATAGTGTAATTCAATTATTATGGCAAAGTTAATGTTTCAAGAACACAATTATATGATTCAAAACATAGATTCAAAATTGATTCTGGCACTATATCTTGGGGATCATTTTCTGCATCATTCAAACTCTCTTTCCACCTAGAAGTGCCATATTTTGAATATATTTATTCATTTGTCTTATCCTTCTAAAACAACATGCAATCATTGAGATAAGTATAGAGTTTTTCATATCCTAAACTTAAGGTAAAAATCATCTTTTTCAAGTCTTGATAAGAATTTAATAATGTATTACCCTATAGTAGAGCAAGTTTTAAAACCTCTGACAATGTATTGAAAGATTTATTTGTCCAACCATTAAAACACCTAATGTGGAACAAATAGATTACAAAAGAAAACTTTGTGAAGCTTTTGCAATTTGGATATAGTTTCTCCTGTACATATTTAAGTAAACCATAAAACTTGTCATTATCAATTCTATGACCATGGTGTTGCTTTCCACTAGTCTTTTCAGCTTGTATGTTACCTACATCAACATTCATAGCTTTTTCAACCATCATATCATGTAATAAATCATGAATGGCAAGACCTAGCCCTTTTTCTTCGTCATTAGTTATTTTAGTAAGTAAACATGCATCCTAGACTTCCATGTGAAATACCTATCAAACATATCCTTTGAGAAAACCATTACATATTGTGTGATCAAATGCATATTTTTTATAAACTCTAAATGTGTTGACATATTTAACATAAGGACACCATTTTTTTTTTCATTTTTAGATGATATTGCAAAGGCAAAGTCTAAAAAACTAGTGAGTCTTTTTATAAATTCTTCACTAGCTCTTGACGTGAGATTTATCCACTATTTATCCATAGAATGTAAGATGATTTGCCCTAGTAATAAAATTATATTTAATTACTCGAAACATATCATCTCTTAAAAAACTTAAAAATTGAAGTAAACTTGACAATAGCAATGAAAGTTATCTAAAAAAGTCAATTATTAGTAAGTAATTTATTTTATACATACAACCAATCAAAGCTATCTAAATATCAAAGTTATTTGTTTTATAAGTCCACCTTTTTGTCCCAATCGAAAAGACAACCATAAAAGCAAAGAGATTTCAAAGAAAAGCAATAATAATAATAATCATACATAATAAAGTAAAAAACTAGGATGAAAGGAAAGTATAACACCATGCATCTAAATGACAGGAAAATAGTTAATGTAATAATAATAATAATAAATATTCACAATTGAATGTATCATCTCTTACCAAAAAGATTCCAAAGAAAAGTAAATGTTGAACTCAAAATACTATGTGAATGTAGACTTAAAAAATCAATTTTTTAATAATCAATAACAAATTTAAAAACAAATAGCATGTAAAACTTAAAGATCTATCATATTATGTCATTATTTTAAAAACTTAAATTAAAACAATAGCATTTAATTTAAGCACTAAATAAAATTTGACTATGTAAGCATAGTGTCACATTTTCATTAAGAATAATATTTTAGATGTACCTTTATAATTAAACTTATGTATTTAGGAAAAGCACAACCAAAGAAATAAGAAATGTGACTAAAGGTTGCTTTGCATCTTGCACAAGCTCTAGAATACTGCACAAAAAAAGAATCTCATTATACTACCAAATGCTAGCACCATATATTTAATTGAAAAAGCCAACTACCAAAAATTATACAACCATCATATATGTAGTATTTGATTACAAATGCCGCCACAATGTAAATAATTATATAT